TAGTCAACTCCAACCCCTCAATCTCTATGATGAAAATGTACTTTTGGTGAACTATTACAAATATCTAGGAGTTTATCTGGATGTGAAGCTACTCTGAAGTATTCACATTAACCATGCAATAGCCAAAGCCAGAACTACTAGAACCTAACTTATGCAACTGATGTTCCGACGAAGCAACCTCTCTCTAAAAAACAAGCTCCTCCTCTATTCCAGTACCCAACCTGCCAATCCTTACGTATGCTGCACCCATCTAGTCAACTGACATCTTTAAGAAAATCGAAGTTTTCCACAGTGTTATGTTTCATACCCTCACAAAACCTCACTGATTTGTCCAGAATAAAGTACTCTTCTGACCTCAAAATTCTACCCTTAGATGTTTTCTTGAGCATATTTCGGCAAAATATTTTTATCAACATTAACAGATTAGCAACCCAGTCTTGCATTCTATTCCTGCTTACAATCTGTTAGAACCCAGCTCTGCCAAGCAACCTAAGGCTGTCATGGACAGATATTTCAATATCATCACTAGGAAGCCTGAAAGGGTTTGCTTTCTTCACTAGGGAAACTAGCTGAACTATCAGTGCTTCACTGGCCTAAGCAGGCTATACCTAAACTATTTTGTATCCCTGCTGAACCTAAACCAGACAATTTATTAGATTTTCTGTTTGGAGAATTAATGAGCATAATGTATATTTTAATTGAAAAAAAAAATCAGTAAACGTGAGTAAGAATGAGCACTAGGCCAGTTTGAGGAAAGGGTGTAAAGTAACTAGATTCTAGAACACGAAATCTTGATAAAGTTAATTATTGTGTTGCCAGGAATGGAAGAGATGAAGGATAATCTATACTGTGATCTGAAATTTAATGATTATGGAAACGTAATTTTGAAAAGGGGAATTATTCTTTCTTTAGCTAGTCTGATATTCAATCCTATAGGTTTTCTTTGTCCTGTCATTTTGATTCGAAACATCTTGACACAAGAATGCTGGCGAAGAAAATTGTTGTTGGATACCAGACTACCCCATGATCTCAAAAAAAATTCTTAAAATGGAAAAATGAATTGAAGTTTTTGCAAGATATCACAATTCTTAGAAGAATATTGAATAGCTCTGACCTGGATACTAATTTCTCCTTTCACGTGTTTTGTGATGCATCACAACACGCTAATGTGACTTGTATATCTTAGATGAGAAAATGATTTTGCCATAAAATATCAACTGGTGCAAGCTAGTGCTCGCATAGCACCTTTGAAACTTGTCTTAATTTCCAGACTTGAGCTCCTAGCATGCTGTTTGGGAGTTACGCAGACAAATTCCATAAAAAAGGATTTTCCTACGACAGTACTCAAATTTTCTAGTGGACAGATTCTATGAATGCCTTATTCTGAATCAAAAACCACAAAGCTTGGGACATGTTTGTTACGAACCGTGTCAATGAAATTAGATCTTTGAGCAACGCAGCTAGCTGGAAGTTTGTACCAGGAAGCATCAATCCTGTTGGCCTCCCATTGTGGGGTTGCTATGCTGATACCTTACTCAAATCCATCTGGTGGGAAGGTCTTGAATTTTTGAAAACCTTCATGAGCGAATGGCCAGAGCACAAACTCTCCCTTAATGGCAAGTCATGAACTCAAAAAAGAAGAAGTCAATCATTTCTGCCTTGAACACAGAAAACACGAAAAAGTTTTATCAAAAATACTCTTCTTGCTTAAAGTTATTGAGAACTGAAGCATGGCAAAATATTCTTGATGAAAATAGTTCAAATGAAAGAGTTTCCTAAAAGAACTTAAGGTCATTTCACGAAAGATTACATCCTATGGTGGATAAAGAAGGTCTTTTAAGAGTGAAGTATCCTGTCCTTAGAAGCAAAGATAGTACAGATTTTCATATGCCTATTATGCTGCATGGAAATCATTACATCATGCAGAAATTAATTGAATGGAAACACAAAGAGTTAAACCATGTCAGTGTCCAAAATATTGATGAATAACCTACTGGAGAGGTATGTGGACTTCTGAAGAGGTACTACTGGATGCTGAAGAGTAGAAAATCCATCCAATGCATAACATTGCATTGTACTAGATGCAGAAGATTTGTCATGAACTCCATTCAGTCAGAATCTCCCGCTTTGCTAGAATATCGAATTAGAGATGCATTGCAGGTCAAGGTTACCAGTGTTGATCTACCCAGTCCCTTGCATTTGAAACATGGAGGAAAATGTTGAATTATGCTGAACACTTATGCAGTTTAAAGAGCAGTTCACTTCAAATTAATAACATCATTGTCATCAGAAGTATTTTTGCAAACTCTAAGGGGATTTATTGAAAGAAATAGGCTACAGTGACCGAGGCATGAATTTCTGTGCAGCTTTACTGAACCTATGCATGAAAAAATCTGTAACAAAAAGAAACATAACATGGAAATTCAAAGAAGAACATAACATGGAAATTCAACCTTCCAGGTGTACCATGGTGGGGTGACTGATAGAAGCGATTAAGTGTCTGCACAAACAAATTTTAAGAAGATTATTGGGACGAGCAGGCTTAGATTTTTAAGAACTCTAATACAGTTAATTGCAATGCATACGTCTTTATGAACTCTAGACCACTAACGATTATCTCCGAAGATGCTGATGGCTTGGTCTCCTTGACTTCTAGTATGTTTTACAAAGAGTTAACCATCCAGAAAAGTTAATCTACTGCCCAAAGACAAATTTCTCATCATTTTTTGTCATTCAACATATTTAAAATTACCAAATAATATTCTCCCAGCAGGATGAATGAGGTTGTTCAGTCTTATCTCCCTTGTTTATAAACTGTGAAAAGTAGAAATGCTACCAAAGGGCAAAGCTGTGCAAAAAAGGAATAAACCCAGTATGTGTTCCCGCGCCATTGTGGCTTGAGTTGAAAGAGTTCTAGAGTTGTGAAATAAAAGCTACAGTCCTAACTTTATAATGTGTTTTGAGATTTATTGAATGAGTTAAATAACAATGTCAGAGTTCTTTTCCCATTACAAAATTAACTTGGTTTACCAGTTGTTAATATTTTCTGGTTCATGTATACTTCTTACCTTTCCCTGATGATTTACAGTGCAGGCATTCAACACAGTGTACAGTCAGAAAGTTTTCAGACTGATTACTTAAAACATGATTAACCATATTTGGCATAAGTAAAACTAAACTCAGTGGCAAACAGCTCTAGTGGGCCAAGGCTTACAGTGCCCCAATATCTGTTTTCTTGACCGTGGGCCCCTGGGTGCGCAAGCATATGCCCTGAACAAGTGGTCAGCTTGTCGTAGGACACCCAGTGTTTAGTCCTCAAGCAAACTTGGTACTCATTTTATCGACCCACTCAGGAGATGAAAGGCTGAGTCAACCTTGCCCAGCCCAGGGATCGAACCCAGGACCTGCTGCGTGATGCGCTAGCCACTGTGGCACCGGACTTCATTTTACATAACAGTGGCCTCCATTATCTTCAAAACAGTCCCTCTCTGAGGCTTGACAATGGTCTCTTTAGCTTTGACAATTTTTGAAACATTCCTGGACGTTATTTTTTTGTAGCATGCTCAGAACTTCTCGTGATTTGCTACTTCAGCTTCATTTTCAATTTTAGACACACGACTCAGGTTTCATTATCTGAAATGACATTTCAACAAAAAGCTGGACTTATTAGTAGCAACTTTTTGAGCTCCAATCAAATATCAAGTTTTTGCTGTTTAAGGTCAGCACTCAGGATTCTGTGCATGAACTTTGAAGCAACATGCCTCATCTTGAAATTTGAAGTCAAAATTTCATGGTTTCAATGACCAATCCTTTAGCATTCAAAAAGATGACAGTTCCTTTAGATAATATAATGTACTATCTCACTTCTGGTAATGAATGAATCAGTCACTGGTCAACCAGACCAGCTATCCCATCGGGGATAATTAAGTGTATAACTAGGATTAGACTGTAGTTAAGTGCAATAACCAGGATTTGATGAAGCATGAAACCATCAGTTTGGAAACTTTAGACTAGATTTCATATAGGTTATAAATTGACTTTGTTTAGTTTGTTAAGTACTTTCTGAATCTATGCTCCACCAGTGACAGGCTGTGGTAAAACTGCTATACTATTGGTATATTTTCTAGTGCACAGAAGGCAAAAGCCAATTCACATGATGTGCATACCCCATACACATATATAATTTAAGTGCACGTGGATTTGCATGGTTTATATTCACCATCATTTCCCTGAACAATGCTTGCTGGCTGTTAAAATGTAAACAGACTTTTAATTTTTCTCATAAAATTTCTTATTTTTCAGAAAAAATTTCTTTTTATTATTGTTTATGAACAGAATAGAACCCATAAACCATAAAGATAGCCAAACAAACATTTTTCACCTGTTCACAAAATTACCAATAATGTGGCGTGGATGTATGGATAATCAGAAAGTACCATTTGTTAGTTTGCATAAGTATCAATCAAGTTCATTTTCTGAATATTTTACTTGGGAAAAAAAAAGAAGAGAAAAACATATTGAAAATAGCGCTGAATTTCTTATATATGCAGTTTAACAAACGATCATGATAACAAAGTTGTTCTATTTGAACAAAGTTGTTCTATCTATATTTTATTTGATTTACCAAAATTTTCATATTAATTTACTTCAATCTTAAAAGAAGCTATATTTGCGTTTCTCAGATATATTCTGAAAAACTGAATTAATAAAACATATTATGTGACCTGCAGCACTAAAACATTTTCAGCTGGCCTTATATGTTCAGAAGCTGGTCATCACTGATACACTTGACCAAAAAAAAAATACCGAGATTTAATTTTTCAATAAATCTTTCTTTAGCTGCTATTTTTTTTTTTTTTTTAATTATTATTTTGAATTTCCATTATACTATATATTTCCACTATACATAATAAATTTAATATTTAAAAAAATAATTTGATAGCTGATAGCAATGAATGATTATTATAAAGGAAAAACTAAACAATTACTTTTAAACTTACAATATATATGATCTTCACTAGCTCCTCAGCAGTTAAACCTTCAGGTTGTACTTGTTCTAGAGCACTCAAGATCTGTTTTTCTCTCTCTAATCTATGCTGGATATATTCAACAATTTTGCTTTTTGGGTTGTGAATAACTGGTCCATGCCCTGGATAAATTCGTTCAGGCTCAAGCTTCAGAATTTTTTCTAAAGTTTGAATATAATCATGCAAATCTTCAAATACCTAAAAATGAAGTCATTAGTACAAAAACAATTAGTTCTTCATGATTACTCAAAACATTCTACTAAATATGTCACTAGCAATAAATATCTCATTAATACACTAGCAGAACAAATTAAAACAGTAACTATAAAAATGCTTTACATTAATTTTATTAGTATGATAGGTACTACAGTCAAAAGTCTTTAATCCGTACGTCCATAATCCGGACCTCAAAGCTACAAACTTTCTGCGCATGTGTAAATGCATAATACGTTTACGCATGCGCATAATACGTTTAATGTATAACGGACAATATACGCTAGGCTAAAATTATCTAATTATCTATTTCAGTTAATGTTGCAGATTGCGTTGTTCCTTAATCTTCAAATTCGATCTGGCTTATTATTTTTTGCAGACTGTTAGAGCAATTTTATAAAGTAAGCTTGAACTTTTGATTATGTCAAAAAGAATTTCTAATTCTGGAGCTGCCAAAGGATCTACAAAGTGAAAGCATGTTTCGATGTCCATCAAACAAGAAGTGGAATTGCTGCAAAAAATGGATAAAGGCATATCCTTTGTTTCTCTAACCATTCCGAAATCTGTTTATCAATTTCACGCTGCTCTGCGGGGAGGGGAGGACGTCGCGGCATGCAATGAACTGGAAGTTGATCTGTCAGCACTATTCTTATCTTCAGAGCAGATGTTTTTATTTTATTCGGCTTATAATTCCTAACTAAATGTAGTATTTCATCTCAATGTACTCCGTCTTGATATGATAGATTTAGATCATAATTGCTCTTTATTTCATAAATTACTTGTTTCATATTTTTAATTTTATAATTTCTGCATGCCATCTTATCAGATTTAAGTTGATGATCTATAATCCGGAACCGCCGAAGTCCCGACGAGTCCGGATTAAAGATTTTTGACTGTACTTGGTTGGTAGCTCAAAGTCAACATTATCATGTAGTCCAATTGTAGTCACCTTAGAACAAAAAATATATAAAATTTTTTTCACTCTTTCTTTTAGCATATATGAAAAGAAGTGCATGAGAGTGTTTCAAATTTTAATTTCAAGCATTGTGTGAGTAGCTGGTTAAAATTTTCATAGGCAATAGAACATGTTAATGCAAAGCCATTTTAGAGATTGCAAAAAAAAAATGACATGTGATTGGAAGAATGGATGCAAGACAAACACTGACCAGGCCTGTAAACACATAAAAACAGCCAAAAGCGTCATGTTGTAACAGACCTATTTAAGTGTAACTGAACTATTTTATTCACGCCATGAACTCATGAACTGTAACCGAACTATTTTATTTAAACGCCATCTCGTGGCGATATGAAAAAACGTCAGTCGACCTCCAGCCGCCATGATGATAGCTTACTATGTTATGTTATTCTCAATGTTTGATGTTCCATTTGGTATATGTTTCATTTTTATGTATATTTCTTTTGTTTGTAACCGTTCCTGTGTGCTCTGTTAATAAATCCTTTTAAAGCTAGCCGGCATTAGTGTCTATTGAGGAACGGCTACATCACATTGGCGCCCAACTAAATTTGAATCCAAAATGGCGCAACAAAATGTTTAGAATTTCTGTTTGGCTTTAACAAGCTCTTACTCCCGAATTTAACTTTTAGTTGCTGGAGATCGGCTCAGTTTCTTTTCAGGTGTGGACTACTGGTCAAATATTCTGGAAACCAATTCTGGAATTAAAATTGTCATACCGTGCTGCTAGCACATCGAATCATCAACTGGACAATTTCAACGGAAAAGATAAGTTTCGTTTACATTATCGTTTAATCTGAGTTTAAAGTTCTTTTAAACTGATTATTTATTATAAGCTGCTTCTTAAAGCAAATGTAAATTTCTTTACTGAAATCTCATTTATTGATACTACATAAGAGTATTAAACGAAAGCAAACGGCTTTCTGTTAACCAAACGTTATTTCTTGAATTGTAATTTGTTATTTTAAAATGTTAATGCGCGTTATTTTAAAATGTTAATGCGCATATTAAATTAATTTGTAGATAATATTGTTTCACTGAATACATGTTTTGATGTTAAAGTTTGAATATATTCATGGACGTTGTTCATTAGAATTTATTAGTTTCGCTTCTGCATACAGCAGCAGATGTTTTCCCCCCCGCGGAAATGTTTAGACTAGCGATGATTTATGATGTGTTTACGTCAAATCTTTTATTATTTTTATTTCCTTTGAGTGCTGTTGTTCCTTATTAAATGTTTTATTCTACATAAAATAAAATATTGTACTTGTTGATTTATCTTTCGACGAACATTTTGAGAAAATGATTATAGTATAATACTTTAAGAAAATACGATTGTTTTCCTTTAATGAATGCATGTCTTGAAAATATTTCTTGAAGCGAAAGAAAATAATTATGAATAAAATCGAATGACTATTTAAATAAAGTAAAAGAGTTACTAAGTGTGTGTTGCTTAATCAGCTTAATATTTTGTTAAGATTAAGATTTCGAAGAATTCAGCTTAAATATAAAAGCTTATGGTAAGACATTTATGTATGTTTTGTATGTTTTGCTAAGTAGTAAACAATTTTTGAGCAATTTATTATATGTTATTTTCTTGATACAAGTTGAATTTATGAGGGCATTTTATGATATTTTTACGACTCCGAAATAATAAACTTTGTGAGTATTATTGTTTACATTTATAAATACTGTTTAATAGTGGTATATAAATGTACGAGTAACATTGTTTACATTCATACATGCTGTTTAATAGGGGTATATACATTTTACTTAAAGGTATAATTATTAATTCTAAAATACTGTATTGTGAATAAAATCGAAATAACAACAAATTCAACTTCATCTTTTCCCTCCCCCCTGACCTCTCATATAATTATGGCTTACCTTGCCAAAGCACGAAAAGAGGATTTAAAAACTCTCGCTGCAGAACTGGGTTTCACTGTAAACGACACTATGCGAGTAATAGATCTTAAAGATCTTATTGTCAATTCTGACACTTATGATGAGGCTTTTACCAGGAATCTTCTGGAAACTTTAATCGAAACTAGACAACAAAAACAACGTGAAAGCAACGATCTGGAGACACGTCAAAGAAAAGAACAAGAACTTTTATTAGAATTGGAACGTTTAAAATTAAACCTGGCAGCTGCTAGCTCAAACCCTAACTATGCCGCCTTTGCTTCAAATGCAGCTATTGGAACAAATATTCAACACCTAATCCCTAAATTTACAGGAACTTCTGACATTGCAACCTACCTGCAAATTTTTGAAAGACAATGTGAGAAAGTTAATATAAAACAAATAGATTACATCACTCATCTCCTACCTCTTCTGCCTATAGACATTTCGCAAATTATTTTAAGAGAACCAAAAGACAAATTAGAAGATTATTCTTACATCAAGAAGATTCTGCTACAAAGATTCAAATTAAATGCTGAATCATTTCGAATTAAACTTACTACACACCAAAAACACCCTGGGTCTTTATGGAAAGATTTTACTTACGAATTAAACAATTATCTCGAAGAGTGGCTCCATAGTCTCGATGTTACAGACTTTGAATCACTCAAAGACTTGGTCCTGACGGATCAGCTTAAAAGAAGAGTCAGTAGTGACGTTAAGGAGCATTTTATTGATACTTGGGGAAAAATAAAGAGTTCATCTGAATTAGTACAGAAATTGGATGATTATGAAGCTGTACGTGTTAAAAATACGAACTATAAAACTCAACTTCCTGGCAGGCGGAACTATTCTTACAAACCGACTAATCCATCCAAACACAAAGTAGAAAATCGAACAAGTGACATACAGGGAACTCATAAAACCTTTTCAAATCGTGGTCAGCACAACAAACAGAAGGAAAGCGACCTCCTTTAACATGCTATGGGTGCGGAAAAAACTGGTTTTTATCAAGTCTAAATGTCCAGACTGTAACCCCCCAAAGACTTCAAATTCATCAAATTTTGGCACTATCCAAATCCGATCCTGTTTATCTTCCACTCGGACTGCTGTATTTCCAATTAGTATTGGTGGTGTTTCCGGTACAGCTTTCGCCGACACTGGTGCTAGTCACTCAATTGCAAGTGAATCCCTCTATCATATTCTGCAAAAACAAGATGCAGTATTTGAAAAGACAACACTACAGGTGTCTTTCGCTGATGGTTTGGTATCTGAAAAAAGAGGTACTTCGCACCGAACAAATCATTCTTCTCGAAGGCAGAGAGTTCAAAACTCCGCTCCTTGTGTTGCCTGATGCCAAAAATAACTCGACTCTGTTAGGAATTGACTTTCTTCAAAAAGCTAAAATTGTTTTAAATCTTGCTGAAAATAAGTGGAACTTTTCTGATGAACCTCGAAGAAAAATATAGCTTCGTGAAACCTCATCAATCCCAAGTACTGGAAGAAACCCCAGTTGTTGTAAACAACTGCCGAACTACGAGAAAATGAAGGACAACAATTAACTACAGCCCAACGGCTTGCAACTGATGCATTGCTTAACAAAATATCACACTGTCTTCAAAGTAGGGGGAGAAACCACTAATCAAAAGCCATCTGGCTTACTTCAAACTCCAGTCTATGCTCAACGTTTTGAGACCTTGTCAATTGATCTTTTCGGTCCCCTTCCTGAAACACCGTCTGGTGAAAAATGGATTTTTATTGTGCAGGACTGTGCTACGAAGTGGACAGAACTATTTGCTTTAAAGGAAGCCACGGCCAGAGAATGTGCCACTATTCTTTTGGAGGAAGTCGCCCTTCGATTTGGGTTACCCAGGAAAATAATAAGTGATAATGGTACCCAGTTTACTAGTGCTGTTATGCAACAACTATGCTATATCTTGAACATTGATCAAAGTCTTACTCCTGTCTATCACCCACAATCTAACCCAGTTGAAAGGAAGAATAGAGATCTGAAACCACGTTTAGCAATACTTGTTGGTAACGACCATCAGTCATGGAAGGATAAACTGCCATTAATAAGGTTTGCTTTGAATACAGCCAAATGTGATTC